TGTGACTAGGTCTTCAGGTCTGTGTTCAGTCTTCAGAGCCAGTGGAGACTCAGACAACATCTTGCTTTAGGAGAATAAACCAGCCACTGCACACAATCCAGCGTGATTGAACGGACTGTCATGGCCCACATTTCACATCTGTGTGTTATAACACGTGGTCCACATTGTAGTGCATTGGGGATGCGCATCAGATGTCAAGCCAGCCTTGGGATTTCACTTCTACAAGACAGTGATCTTGTATGAGGCTATTCAGCTTTGCATTTCAGTCATTCAGGGCATGGACGTCAGTCAGATTTTTTGGAGGTGGATGAATTTTTTCTCCCATGATGCTTTGCACCCCCACCCACTCCAGCCTCTAGGATCTCTACGTCCTCCTGACGCCGCCAGCAGCGAAGGACCTTTTGCGGCGAAGTGCATATTACCATTTCATCAGCACACAAGGTCCCTCACCCAACGTCTCTCTCTCTCTCATTGTCCAACCTCGTGTTTATCTTCCCTTTTATTGATTCCGCTGACCTTTCTGTCAAAATAGTTTTCATAAGCTTGGCGACAGCGCCTGCAGAACCATCTGCTCCGCTCCGCGCTGATAAACAATGATGACAGCACTGTCGTGAGCAGGGAAAACTGCAAAAACAAGACATCGGCTTCGTTGTAACAGCAGAACTTCTCCCGCTGAGGAGAAAGGTCAGAAAACAAAGAGAGGAAAAGAAGCTCGCGAATGTGATTGTTCAATAATTTGATATTATCCACATTCTGATCACAGCTGCAAAAATGAAGAAGAGCGTGTGGCCGTGCCTTCCATCAGTCAGCCATTTTTCAGGTTGGATTGAAGAGGACACGGCCAACGTTGGCGATTTAGATGACATTGTACTGTAAAGCTGGCCATACACCTTACAATTATCTGCAGATTTTCTGTGGTCAGATGGAAAAGGTGCAACAGATTCCTCCTTCTACACTTAACTGTGTGGATGGAGTAATCTCCACCTGGGCCAATCCATTGCACTTTTTCCATCTGACCACAGAAAATCTGCAGATAATTGTAAGGTGTATGGGCACCTTAAGACTCATCTCTTCAGGGAAGCCTATCCCACCTCAACCTAACCACTCAACCATCACGTTCTCAAACAATCATCCCCACACAGCTACCTCCTCATTTATCACTGGCCCCTCCCTTTTAGATTGTAAGCCCTCAGGGGCAGGGCCCTCCTTACCCTCTTGTCTTGAATTGCATTGTGATTGGAATGCCTTCCTTATATTGTAAAGCGCTGTGCAAACTGTTGGCGCTATATCCTGTGTGGGGATTCATTGTTTGAGAACGTGATGGTTGAGTGGTTAGGTTGAGGTGGGATAGGCTTCCCTGAAGAGATGAGTCTTTAAAATTCGAACCTCAGATCAGCCCTCTTGGATCGGCTCCCTCAACTTTCAAGACCCCTTCAGACCTCTCAGACCAGCGCGGGACCTCTTTGAGTCATGTGAAGTTATTGTCACTTGACAAGAAACAGGAAGTGGGGTAGGTTTTCCCGCTCTCCTGTACTTGCAGCATCAGGATCTGCTGCAACACCCGGTATCGGGACATGGTGTGGGTCCCCGGAAGGGAACTCCCCTCTCTTTGTAGAGATTTTCTCTAACTTCCTGTTGCATCTCCAGGACAGGAAGTAAAGTGAATATACTTACCTTCCCGGTGGCCCATGTGTTGACACTCCATTGCTTTGCTTCTTCCCAGCCGCTGCATGCATTCCGCGCTTCCGGGTTTGTAAAATATCTGCCCCCTCGCTGCACGCTGTGATTCCTCTCACCAATTTGTACGTCACTACAGGACATATAAGCCAGCGGAAGGTACCACAGCGTACGGGGGGAAGCAAAGCTGCGGTGTCCACACACTCTGGCCACCAGAAGGGTCTATTGCCTCTTTCACAAAACATGTTGGGAAATTGACCGAGGTGGGGTTGGGGTTTAGGGTTGCCATCAGTCCAAAATCCTATAGTTGGGCTTTGAAAGACGATTCTATTTTATAACAACATGTTGGTTTCAAACAATAGGAAACAAAATATAAAAACTATAACTTTGTAATGTATTTATTGGTATGTATTGTAAGATTCACACACACAAGAGATCTGTCATTGCTATCTGCAGCCTTGTTCCCTCCACCTCCATCCCAAGAGCCTTTCTGAGGTTACTTATGTACCTTTGCGTATTTCAGCCTTTGCAATTCTGTTTTGTACCTTAAATGACAACATTGTAAACCAAATAGGCACCACACTAGGCGTGCGTAGGAGTGAATATAGCTGGAAGCTTGGGGAGTGCAGATTTATTGCTGGTGTGCAAGATCCAGTGAGGTGTTTCTGCTGCTACCAGCTGATCAGGTGTCCCCAGTAGGAGATTTCTCAGCTGTCACCTGCCCAGGAGGTGAGTGCCAATCTCCACCGTGGGGACACAAGACAAGGATAAAACCCAGCAGGGGCTCTTCCTCTTACCTGCTCTGCACCACAAAATAAGGACACACAGAGCCATGGCTGCATTTACTCTGAATAGAGTTCCTGGGTCTCCCATAGTTCATGAATGTTACTCTTCATTACATGCAAATATTAGAAAATGTTTCCTGGGCCTTCCCTGGAGCATAAAATAATAGCAGAAGATGTCGTCGTGTTAAAACAGACCTCGTGCCGGCAGCCAATGCAAAATGCTGATAAATAAATATACCTTCCCACTGACTTCCATACTGTAGGTTGTGACATCACACTCCTTGGGATTAGATCCGGTGAACAGAGTAGCCCAAATCTGACATGACACACGGCACGGTGCAAGGAGCGTCTCCTCCCGAGATCTGGGCTACTTTGTATTCCCTAGGATCTTGCTAGAAGGAGCATTCTGTCACCCTAGGCAGCACAAGAAAAAGCCAAGGGAAAGGTAAGTAAAAAGTGTATTTAAAGGAGAACTATGAGGTGAGTGAAAATCACTCATCCTCATAGTTCGACCCGACGTGTGACAATGAAACTGTCACACATTCGGCTCAATAGATCAGGAATTGAGCGAACACATACCGTCGCTCGCTCACTTCTCGATCATCTCCCTGCAGAGAGCAGCGACTCTCAGCAGGGATTCCCCCCCTCCGATCCTCCAGCGATGACTGGAGGAACGGACGGTGGAGGGGGCAGGCACAGCTGGCTCTGCCTCTAGATAGGCAGAGCCCGCTGTCACTCACGCAGCTGGGTGGATTTCTACAGCATTGTCAGGATCCGTCCCGGCTGCGGCTATCTCAGTATACCGCAAGCTGTATATATATATATATCCTGAGCTTTGGGTCACGGGAGGAGGTTAGTATATGTCCTCCCGTGACCCTTAAGAGAACTATGGGGGAAAAACTTACCCCATAGTTCTCTTTTAATGATTTTTTCCCCCAACAGTTTGGTTTTTTTTGGAAACAAAGTAGCAATTTATGATGGGGGGATTTGCATGTTTGTGCTGCAACGTCGGCTTTAATTATCAAAATGCTGCTTTTTCTTTTTAAATCAAGTATGTATCAAGTATGTATGACCCTCTACAGACCAGTGAGATGCTCCCTGCAGGTTCATCCTGCTCACTGTGGTCCTCAGGTTGGCAGAGTGTATTTAAAGGAATATTCCCACCCTAGAAAATGTTACATTTTCCTTTGTTACCGGAGTGAAGCCGAGTACTGATCCTGCTTATGTCACAAAACCTAAAAGCGAACCCCCAAATTGGGAAGTTTGATAGATATTTCATCTGTACAGTATGTTTTTTTTTTTTCTTAAGCTGAACTCCAGACAAACTACACACACAGCTGGAATACACACGTGAAATGTCTTATCTGACAGGGGATTTGTAATTCTGTCCAGTCACGTTTGTGATTTGTGTGCCTCTTCCAGGCAGTACAGGCAGGAGGGTGGCACCACTTTCTTTGTTAAGAGTTAAAGCAGAATTCCAAGAAACAAAAATCAATTTGCAATTTTCTAATATCTATATTTATACATTTTATTTTAGGCACCCTGACCCTTCTGTAAACGGTAAACTTCGGTCACAGAAACTTACAGTCCCGGCTATACAGAGATGATAGTGGGTCACCCAGCTCAGCACTTTGGCCATTCACAAAACGTCTTGCAATTTTTGCACTGGATACAAAGCTTTTTGTGAAAGGATAAGGAAGAGTAAACCACATGACCTCCCATGCCCACTGTATCCTGTGTATGGATATGGGAGATCATGTGGTTTACTCTCCCTTGTCCATTCACAAAAGCACCTTGCATTCTTTCTATAGACAAGGAAGATCACGTGGTTTACCCTCCATTGTCCATTCACAGAACACCTTGTATCCTGTGTATGGACAAGGAGGATCATATGGTTTACTCTCCCTTGTCCATTCACAGAATGCTTTGTATAATGTGTATGGGCAAGAAAGAGATGCGATTTACTCTCCCTTGTCCATTCACAAAACAACTTGCATTCGTTCTATAGACAAGGAAGATAATGTGGTTTACTCTCCATTGTCCATTCACAGGACACCTTGCATCCTGTGTATGGACAAGGAGGATCATGTGGTTTACTCTCCATTGTCCATTTATAGAATGCTTTGTATTCTCATTTCATTTCTGTACTAGAGCTGTAACTGTAAGTTTTGGTGCTGGAGGTTCAGTGCTTACAGAAGGGCCAAGGGGGCATAGCACTCATCCTTCTAACTAATGCAGCAGCCAGCCAAGGATCAGGCACCCTTCATTAGTAATAACCAAAAAAAAAAAAGCAAACTTTTTTTCCCTGGAGTTCTGCTTTAAGGACACAGTGGTGTCAACATACGCAACCGCATTAAATTATGTGTTTTCTGATAACTGCTCGGAGTTCAGCTTTAAATTTCTGAAGCTGCAAACTAATCTAAGGCAAACAACGAGTCTCCTTTTCTTAGGTGACCCGTAATGCAGCTGGAGATTTCTCCCTGAGATAGTGGAATACGTGTTAAATAACTCAACCATAAAAAGCTAAATAAATAATGTAACAGTCCATCGGGAAAATGAAGAGCCGCCAGCAGTGGCTCAGACTACTCCAGCTGAAAGCTCTGGAGGTAATTTTCATAATTCTCCTCGCAGGATCGGACGCAGTCTAGAAAGTAATCTTTCTCCGCGATGGCTCGGAGGAGATCCGTCTGCACCAAACAGATGTCGTACAGCTCCGAGGTGGGGACCTTCCTGGATTCCTTCCCTCTTCCCTGGTCCAGAAGTACCTGAGCCAGATAAAGAAAGGTTATTAAACAACTGCAAATGGTATTTAAAGCCCAATCGCGCCTTCAGTTTAAATCAGCTAAATACACTCCAGTCAAAACAAAAAGGCCTTCAATGTCTTACAGCGTGATTTCTAAAGCAGCCGGAGTCTGAGTAGAAAAGCCATTCCAATGCCATCAGATGCAGAGTGGGACCGTTCTTCTCTGTGGGGAAGCTGTGGTCTCTCTACAGAGGTCAGACACACCGACGCCTTTTTTCTCAACAATAGTGGAGTTACACGTCATCCGCTGGAAGTGGTTATACCACGAACACGGCTGCTGATGTCGCCGTCAGCTTCCTGGGCTCTGCTGTGCCCCGTGGGTCTCCCCTGATGGATCGGAGGGAGATCAGCATTCTTCCAGCTGCTGATCTCTCCTCTGATCACTGGACCCGGAAGTGATGTGCATTACATCACTTCCGGTGTCACTGTGCACATTCTCTGGCTCCTAGAGCCAGAAGAAGAAGCTGAGGAAGCAGATCTCTGCTGCATCGGCTTCTTTGGGGTCACTAGATGACATTAGGGGTCTGAAAGACCTTTGATGTCTCCATAAAGGAGGACCTGTCACATTATATTTGCTATTACATAAGGGGTTTGATAGCCCCCTATGTGATAGAAATAAAGTGGAGTGTAAAAAAAAAAATGTCCCCCGCTGCCCACGTGCACGCACAAACCCAAAAACGCGTTGGATGCACCAACGTGCAAAAACGAAAATTGCGCCACACATATTACATATCTTTGCGAGCATCGGAGTGAGAGCAATAATTCTGGGCCCATCAATCACTGTTAACACTAAACTGATGAGCAGTAAAAGTGTCGCTTGTGGGAAATGTTGGTTATTGTAGTTTTTTGCGGTTTCACTAGCGCACGCAATTTTAAGGCTTGACATGTTTAACAACTATTTACCCAGCGTGACCCCGTCTTTTATATTTTACCAAAAAATTGGGTATTATATTCTCTTTCTGTGTGCTAAATTTACATTTAGTGTATTTTATCCTAAAAATACTTGATTGATAAACATTTGCGCAAATACCGTGCGACATAAAAAATTGCAACTAGTATCTTTTTGTTCTACATGGTCTCTGCTTTCAGAAAATATATCATTGTTTGGGGGTCTGAAGCTGTTTTCTAGCCAAAGATTCAGATTTTATCATCATGTGTGTGCAAATGTAAGAAATTGCTCCGGGCAGCAAGTGGTTAAGCTGTTCTTCCATTGCCAGCAACATTTACAGGGTTATTCACAGAAGGGTGAAGAGTTCGGAGAAGGCCGGAGAAGTGAACAATGTAGGACAACATCGCTGAACTGGAGAGTGAGCTGAATTGGAGAATTTGTCCAAATCAGCTATGTTGTCCTACATTGTTCACTTCTCCGGCCTTCTCCAAACTCTTCACCCCTCTGGGAATGACCCTGTTAGTGTTATAAACTTCCACGGAACTCACCCGGCAATTCACAATTGTATCAGTGTCCTGTTCACTCAGACGGATGTTGTCATCTATGATGAGATGCAGATTATCGCAGTCGTTGGGATCAATCCAAAATGGCTTCCCTCCCGTGCTTGTAAAGCTGTTTCTCGCCCACCTATAAAAAAAGAGGAGAGAGGGGTGGAAATGTTCAAGGGGACCTGTCCTGATATATAATGGATGCCATTGCTGGGCACCTTCTCTGACAGTCAATACCCACTGGATTCAGTGCTTTCTAAGTCCCTGACCCGGTGTTCTATCGAAAGCTCCAGCTCATCAAAATCTCCAACTACTTCACTGCCGGTACTTGCAAGTTGGAGGTTTCGACCAGACGGCGTTAGACTGCAAAACACAACAAGACTGACGGAGCTTCTGTACAGCTACATTTTAACAATATTCAACAGGTGGCAAACTCAACGAGTGTTCTGAAAGCGCTATGCACGCATGTGCACCGCAACTGTACAGAGCTCCAGTCTTTCTGAGCACCGGAAGTGAGGTAGTTGGAGATCTCGATGAGTTGGAGCTTTCAATAGAACTTTGAACAAGTATGCCGATCTTTAATTCTGCGTTCACTCTAAAGGTGCTCATAAACATTAGATTTTTGAACGTAGGGAATGAACCTGCTGGACCCGTGTGGTTATTCTCTTGGTGTTTCCAATCCAACAATAGTTAAGTGGTGTGAATATGGGTGATCTGGCTTGGCATCTTCTAAAATCCAAAAGGATCTCAACAGTATTAATGGCTTGACAGTGAACAAAGTAGATAACAAACTACCAGTACTCCCATCATAACACAATACCTTTGAGCTGCTGGGATTGTAGTCCACATACATATATTTCTCTCATTAGGCCCTGATGAAGGGAGTTTATTTTGGACCCCAGAAACGCATTGGGTACTAATATTCCTCCCTGACCCTATGGCATGACCCTATGGAATGGGGGGAACGGAATGAAGTTGCATCTGGACTATTTTAATTGATGTGGCACTTCAGTTCCTACAAACATAGATGGCAAGCTCTAAAATCAGCTAGTTTCTACCAGTTATCAATCCTACGTCTATGGGGCACCCGCAGCCAGTGGAGGCTTGTCCGGGATAATATGAATGGGATAGGCCAGAAATCCATATGTGGTCACACACTTTGCCCCTGATAATGCAAAGCCAGAGGTGTCTGCATGAAGCCCCCCTCACCCTCGCCAGGCCCTAGAACTGCATTTACAGCCGTGTTCCCTGCTCCTTACCAGTCAAAGTGGTCCTGAAACCCTCCTATTCCGGACATGGCAGTGAAGTAGTCATAAATATTTCTCTCTCTCCCTTTAGTGGACACACGATCAGCGCCCCGGGTCAGCACGTTCTCCCTTTTGTTGCATCGGATTCTCCCCGGTGTGAGCTCCACACTGAGCTAGGGGAGAAATCAGACAATGAGAATTGATAAGACACCTTCAGATTTATTTCAATGGCCGACATACCTGCCACCTCCCAAAACTCCACATATTTACCGGCAGTTCCTTCAGCTCGGGGAAATACGGATGTTTTCCGGCTAACGTGGCGTGAACAGATTGGAGCACAAGTGGAAGGTCACTGCCGAACGTCCTCAGTATGACAGAGAAGTGTCTGCCCTGCTGATGGAGGGTGCTGAGCAGGTGGAAGAAGGATGGCAGGATCCAGTGATAGAGCTTCCCGTCCTCCCCGCTCTGTGTAAACGTGTCGTCTGCCTCTCCCTGCCACTGCAGCAGGTCCAGGTGGCGGGTGAAGACCTCCTTGAAGCGCCGTCCTATCTTGGAGTCACTGAAGTTGCCATCACGCCCAAACTGGGTGTTATAGTTGATGGCGTCTGGGGATGGAGGTTTGACAGACGGCTGATCGCTTATCCATTCCCATTCACCTGGAACAAAAAAAGAATGCCGCTAAGCATGAGTCACACCTCAGCTGGCTGCTCAGCACGAACTCCAATCCCATTTTACTGTGGCACAGCTTAATGAAAAATAAAATCTGATTGCCTGCTATGGGCATCACCTCCTTTCTTCTACGCTCCAAACCCCGCACAGCCCTCCTGAGACCCCGCACAGCCCTCCTGTGGCCCCGCACAGCCCATCCGTGTCCCCGCACAGCCCATCCGTGTCCCCGCACAGCCCATCCGAGACCCCGCACAGCCCACCTGAGTCCCCGCACAGCCCACCTGAGACTCTGCATGTGGCACAGCTAAATGAAATATAAAATCTGATTGCCTGCTATGGGCATCGCCTCTTTCATCTACGCTCCAAACCCCGCATAGCCCATCTGAGACCCCACACAGCCACCTGAGAACCTGCACAGCCAACCTGAGACCCCGCACAGCCATCCTGAGACCCCGCACAGCCCTCCTGAGACCCCGCACAGCCCTCCTGAAACCCTGCATGTGGCACAGCTAAATAAAAATCTGATTGCCTGCTATGGGCATCGCCTCTTTCTTCTACGCTCTAAACCCCCACCTGAGACCCCACACAGCCACCTGAGACCCTGCACAGACTCCTAAAACCCCGCACAGCCCCCCTAAAATATCCTCCACTGGATTCACAGCCCTCCTGAGACCCCGCACAGCCCTCCTGAAACCCTGCATGTGGCACAGCTAAATAAAAATCTGATTGCCTGCTATGGGCATCGCCTCTTTCTTCTACGCTCCAAACCCCGCACAGCCCATCTGAGACCCCACACAGCCACCTTAGAACCTGCACAGCCCTCCTGAGACCCCGCACAGCCCTCCTGTGGCCCCGCACAGCCCATCCGTGTCCCCGCACAGCCCATCCGTGTCCCCGCACAGCCCTCCCGAGACCCCGCACAGCCCATCTGAGTCCCCGCACAGCCCACCTGAGACTCTGCATGTGGCACAGCTAAATGAAATATAAAATCTGATTGCCTGCTATGGGCATCGCCTCTTTCATCTACGCTCCAAACCCCGCATAGCCCATCTGAGACCCCACACAGCCACCTGAGAACCTGCACAGCCAACCTGAGACCCCGCACAGCCATCCTGAGACCCCGCACAGCCCTCCTGAGACCCCGCACAGCCCTCCTGAAACCCTGCATGTGGCACAGCTAAATAAAAATCTGATTGCCTGCTATGGGCATCGCCTCTTTCTTCTACGCTCTAAACCCCCACCTGAGACCCCACACAGCCACCTGAGACCCTGCACAGACTCCTAAAACCCCGCACAGCCCCCCTAAAATATCCTCCACTGGATACATCAGGCCAGCACCCCGGAGCAACACAGAGTATGTAGCTTCATCTTTTTCTGTATAATGCATTTCTGGGACTTGTAGTCCTCTATAGCTGGTGGTACTCTTCATTACTGTATAATGTATTGCTGGGATTTGTATCACTCTACAGCTTAGAGCTAGTAGCAGAACTACCAGGGACTCAGCAATTGCAGCTGCGACCGGGCCCTGGCTTTTTTTTACCACTGTCCTAAAATCATCAGTCTTTATTGTTTTAGAAAAACCGTTACATGACTATAAAGAAAAAAAAAGAGGGGGAATCGGTAATTCGTATCAACGAGTACTTGAGGAAAAGTATTGTTACTTGGTTGGGTAAAAAGGGTATTGGTGCATCCCTACTTATATAATTAGATAGATAGATATAAAAAAAACTGGAGGGCACCTACCTGTGTTGCTTATCCTCCCCCAGGTGACAGTGCTCAAGTAGGAATTGAGTGCTTCCCTGAGCCCTTGGCCGGTGGCCGTGTCAGATACCAGGATGGTGTTATTTAGATCCAGATGAAGAATCAGGTTCCTCCTCTTCTGCTGAAGAGCCGAGATAAGCGGCCGTACGCTGCCACCCGCGTCTTCACCTTCCTCTTCTCCATCGCTCAACTCATATCTATTCATGTTGTTCATGGCTGGATCTTACGAAAGCTCGCTTAACGCTTTCAAATCTCTTATTAAATTATCTAATGGACTATGAAAGCGAAACAGACATTTGCAAATGAAAAAATAAAAATGATAAACGCCCTACAAATGTATTGTACTTAATTTGTTAACATTCTGAAATTTAAAAAAAGGGGGAGGTTTTCTAAAAAAAAAAAAATGCCCTACAATGTTTAATATTCAAATTAATATTTGTAACCGCTTATTTTGTTAACATTCGGAGCTAAAAAAAAACAAAAAACGTTTTCTAATAGTAGAAAAATGCCCTAAAAGTTTTCAAAATCAAATAAATATTTGTAACCGCTTATTTTGTTAACATTTTGAGCTTTAAACAAAAAAAAAACTGTCAGGTTGTTTAATAAATCTATGATAAACAGATGGTGTGGATTGGACCAACATTCACCATATTTATTCACAGAGAAAGGTTTTGTACAAGTCTTTCGGAATTGAGAAAGCTGGTCGTATGACCAGCGAAACGTCTTCAAAAAAATACAGCAAGCCCAGTTGATTTACATTTTTACAGATAGATTTTCTAATAGTAAAAAAAAGAAATTAATTAACTAATTGTTTATAATAAATGACGCTGGAAAAAAACCTGAAGCGCTTTCACATACACTAAGTACGTCAAAAGTGCACGGCCTTTTATCTGTCACACTGAGATCTGACGCGTTCAGAGTTGAACTTTGTAACACACAGCCGGGGAGGCTCTGGAAGGCTCGTTTTCTGGGTCTGGAGATGCCGAGGATTAACCCTGCGTGGTTTGGGAGTTTTAATGCCGTTCTGGACCGAAATTCTCGCCTCGGAAAGCTAATCTGACACGGAGTTCATTAATGCCGCTGGAAACTGGCAGCGCGCCACCGATGCTATGACTACACGGCGTTGGCTCTTCGCAGTGCGGCTTGTGAGCGCCGCCTGAGTGGTTTTCCCTCTTAAACCCTCAAGTCTCAGAATCTCCGAGGCCGTCTGCTGCGAATTGCTGCGGCTGAAGGACAGAGACGCTTTAAGTTATAATTCCGGGTAACGCTTGGATGTCGGACTTTACAGCCGTTGCCGAATGTAATCCTCCACCTGAGGAAAGGAAAAGAGAAGAAAACAACAGGATCCACTGTAAGGTCAGGCTTATAGATGGTTACGATGATAGACATTGGCGTTAGGGATGCACCGATACCGGTTTTTGGGTATTGAGTACCGATATTTTGCTTTCGCCGATACCGAGTAACAATATTGGTGCTTCCGCTGGCATGGAAGCCGGCTTTCCGGCCAATCAGGAAGCGGGTCATTACTTGCCGCCCAGCTTTCCGATTGCCGGCTCGATTGCGATTGGCCGGGAAATCGGTTTCCCAGCCACAATCAGCATTCAGCCAATTAGGAAGCTGTTGCGGCAAGTAATGACCCACCTCCCGGCTTCCTGATTGGCCGGAAAGCCGGCTTCCCGACCAAACAGGAAGCCGGGAGGCGGGTCTTTACTCACCACCCGGCTTCCTGATTGCCCAGGAAGCTGGCTGCAAATTCTGGCCAAAGATTGGCCGTAAATTCAGCTCCATGCTGATTGGTGGGAAAGCCGGCTTCCCAGCCAATCAGCATGGAGCTAGCTTCCCGGCCAATCAGGAAGCTGGGAGGCAGGTCTTTACTCACTACCCGGCTTCCTGATTGCCCGGGAAGCTAGCTCCATGTTCCCCCACGGCACTCTCGGTCAGAGGAAATCTTAGCTTGGCATATCGCATCCAGCTCAATTACCTCACTGGTTGCCAGAGCATCCCGCTCCGCTCCTGGCAACCAGTGATGTCACTAAGCTAGGCGGGACGGCACATCCGGCACATCCCAGCTTTCTTAGCAACCTTGGATGATCTGGCTGGTATGCGGCCTGAGGCAACCACTTCCGGCTGCCTCCTTATAGGGATGGCCCCAGCTGCCTTGAATTCAAAGGTACCGGCTTCAAAGTTGTCATGCTCATTCTTTCTTTACTAGGAGACTCAATTAAGCAGTTAGAGAAAGCGGGACCACCAACCTGCATAGTTCACTACGTAGTAAGGCAAGGATGAGCTGGACAGCCCCAGGGTTGGCACCTTCATGGGTGCCAATCAGCTCCTCTCTTCAGTTTGCTCAGTCAAGATTTGAAAATGAAAGGTGGATGCTGATTGGTTGCAGTGCACAGCTGCTTCAGATTTTGTCTGCTCCAGCTTTGATAAATTCCCCCCCATGAAATACTTTCACCATTTATCATAGAAGTGATAGCCTGAGGGAGAGGGACTTCCATGGAGTCACGGCGTACAACTCTAAGGGCCCGTTCACACCAGACAAAGTGTGTTCCGGTCCGATTCTTTCCAGAACGCACTGCATCGCATTGCGGCCGCCTCACTATGTTGTGGGGCTGGTTGCTGGAGAGTGCAATAGAGATCATCACAGCAGTGCTGCCTGTAGCTTTAAGGCAACGCTCAGCAAGCCACAGGCAGTGCTAAAGGCTGCTAAAAGCTTAATGACACCATGAGCTCCCCCATTGGATTGATATCAGACATGTATAAAGGGGATTTCATGGTGTATAGAAAGCTGCCGGATGCTTGTGAAACGCTTTGCGGTTAGCAATCAGCTGCTGTCACTGTTCAGGTATTCTGACAGCCGCACACCCTCTGCTGTCAGCATTTATTAGCCCATAATGGGGAAGTTGGGGGTTATGGGAGGGGGAGGGATCAGGGGGTTATGGGTTTTAA